ATAATGGAACTCCTTGTTCTTACATCAATGCCTATGAAGGAACTGGGTTCAATCCTGAAAGAGCTAGCTGAAGTTCAGATATCCAGTGTGTCTTCTTGGCAGCAGTTTTCCTGCTATTTCCTATTATTGGAATACGTTGAACAGTTGAATTCTTGAGTTTATCATCAGCCTCTTCTGAATTTACTGCAGTCTAACCCATTTCGCCTTGAAGCTGACACCCAGGCAGTGACAGATACACATGAGACTCAGATTTAAACTGCAAATGTAGAATTCAATATGTTATTCAGGGAATGAAGTCTGCTTTGACAATGCAAAGTTTTGCTGTTGCTGAAAAGAGGGATTAAGAATTCATCATACCAAGGATATACTGGAATACTTCATCTCTGATGAGCATGGAAGTATAAAAAATTGGGAATGATGTGAAAGTAATGATGCTCAGTAAAAAAGTCAGAATTTTCTCTATGAGCATGGTGTAGGAAACTTAGTCAGATGCAATGCCACATATCAGCTAATCAGGCTATTATGTCACTTTTGGTGGAATGATGTGTTGAGAGCAGGTATTGATGATGGCTACCAGATGTATGCCTCTACAACAGCGTGTAGTGTAAAACCCTTCAAAGTGTAGCCATACTGCAGTTGAGAGAATTTATTAGATTATTTTGGAAAAGGATTTTTGCCATTTTGAATTATTCATAATACCTCATACTAACCATTAAAAATTTTATTTTTTTGTCATGAGTATTAAACAAAATGGCATTTTCATGCCATTAAACACTGGAAGAATGGCAAGAAGACCGTAAATTATAGCAGAAAGGTTTGAGTATCTTTTTCTCATGTAGAGCCTTAAAACTAGGATGTCTCTTTTTCAAATGCACCAAACTCATATACAGGGGAATTATTTTTTTGTACAATGGAAGAAACATTGAGAAGCTCGTCAGGCACACTTGGAAGCTTTGACATAGTTAGTTTCCTCTCAATTTCATGGAGTGTTTGTCCCTTGGTTTCTGGTAGATAGAAAATACATATGATCCCCATCACAAAACAGCTGGCACAATAAAAGAAGAAAGTCCCATGGTTATCCAGACCTTCCTTCATGGATGGGTATAATTGCAAGACCATGAAAGAGAACAATCCATTGCAGCTAAGTGATATACTTGTTGCCTGATTTCGAATCTGTAATGGAATGCACTCACTCAGAAGCACAAATACTACAGAACTCATTCCCAAGGAAAACCCAGCCACAAATAGGCACAATGTAACAATGGGGACCCAGTAGAGGCTTTTCAGAGTTTCCAGGTGCAGTTCATTGTCGAGGAAGTAGTAGTATAGTCCAAAGCCAAAGTGGGCAAAGGTCATGAGGAAAGAAGAGATGATTGAGAGGCGTTTACGTCCTACATGGTCCATGAGGAGGCTTGAGATGATGAGAAATACAAATTGTACAGCTCCAACACTGATAGTTGAAACATATGAATCAGCAAATCCTTCTCCAGCAGCCTCAAAAATATCAACTGTGAAATTGAGTACAACATATATCCCTGTCATTTGACGAAAAAGCATTATCAATATCACCAATCCTACAGGTTTTAGATAGTTCCATTGAAAAATATCTCTGAAATGAGATCTTGTTTCTTGGGATTCTTTGATGTGCTTGATGACTTGATCCATTTCCATTGTGACATCATAATGTGGGCCTCGAAGCTTCCTTAGGGCTGCAGCTGCCTCTTCATACCTCTTGCGTAAGAGGAGAAAAGTAGGTGACTCTGGTACAAAAAGGACTATGGGTATTAATGCCATGGGGATTATTCCCAGAGTCAATGCAAGTGCTCTCCACTCCATGAATGTTCCAAGGATGTATGCAAGCATGGTTCCAAATGCAAGGCAGATCATATTGCCTGATGTCAGTTGACCTCTTCGATCCTTGTGTGCAACCTCTGCTACATAAAGCTGAGCAATGGGGTCTCGAATACCAAAGAAGATGCCTGTAAGACCCCTAGCAATCATGAACATGGAGAAGCTCATCGGGTATGAGATCATGACCCAAGTAGCAAAAATTGGGAAGTGGAGTGCAATGAGGAGCCATTTGCGACTCCAATGCTTTGCAATCAGAGCAGCCACCAGGCCACCCAGCAATTGTGCCAGACTCACCATACTCACTGCAAGATATTATAGTTGTAGGAGTGTTTTAATTGTTAATGAGGAAAATTTTTAATCTTAAAAGACCAATTAAATGACTTAGGATCATTCAAATTATTCATTTTTATTCTAATGTGAAGAATGCTATGTTTCACATTTTCATGCCTAATGAATTGCAGTTCCTGGGTTTTTCCTATTCGGTGTTGTGATAGAATCTAAGATGATTCCCCAAGTTATTGCATTTGTCTGCTGCATGATTCTGGCAAAATATGCAATGCTTTGAATTGTTTCAAAGGCATTATCTTTAAGCTTCTCTTCTTGCTCTGTGTATTCTCATAGTGCATACACCTCCTATTTGGAGTGTTGTCATCATTGCAATCATTTCAGCATTTGAATAGCTTTCTTGAGTTTGAAATCACAACTTTGTGTTTAACCCTTATAGTGCCAGAGCCGATTAGAATGACACTATGAATTTCATTGAAAAAGGCCAGTGTCGAAGAGCTGACGATTAAAGGGTTAAGATTTGTTTCTAGTCTGGGTGTTCGATCATGTTCCTTCTTGAGCTTTGGACATTTTAGTGCCAGCTCTTCAACTCTGGCATTTTGAAGCAATATTTGTGGCATCGGTGTAAGTGACTCTGGCACTATAAGAGTTGAGGAATGTAGGATGCCTTATTCTATGGAAAGCTGGAATGACATCATTGTGTCACTCTCATTTTCAATAATTATTTTTAAAATGTTAAAGGGATCATCCAGGAAAGATCAGATTTGGTCTCGGACACAGTGTTTAATTGAGAAGGATTACTTGTTTTTTTTATTATTTTTGGAAGGCAGTTGCTACCTCCTACTGTGGCAAAGGGCCAAAATCTTTCTGTCAACTATATATATTGAACCTGCTCTGAGGTAGGTTGCTCTATTAGTACTTAGGAAGGTTCACATTCCAGATATTTCAGAGATCTGATGGTCTGAAAGTAAAGTCCTAAGATTACACCTCATTGTCATTCTTAAACAAATATGCATCTTTGATATATCATAGGGGAGAATTATCCAGAAAATTCAGTGGTGGCTGAGGGGTGGTGTCACGAATGGAATGAGGGCAGTTTTCCCCTGTAAGAGTAGGAAGGGAAGCTGGAACTCCTCAAACCTCCCCTGGATACCTCCCTTCTGTCAGATTATAACTGCCAAGGGAAGGATGCAGGCAGATGGGCCAAAAGTGCAGCCATTACAAAACAGAGATCCAGGGAGGGTCTACACTGAATCAGAAGTGGCAGATATTGGTTCATCTCTAATGTATTTGATATTTCATGATGAAAGTCTTTCTTTACACATTTAATTTTAATTGCTAAAGGAAACTATACTGTTAAGATATGCAAATTTTGTAAAAACTTGTTCTGTTGATAGAGACCAAGGAATGTATTTTAATAAGTTATGCTTCCTAATTCTTGAATAATTGTAATATGATGAAACCATAGTCAAGGTCAGAGAGACTGACCAAACCAGGCTTTGGATTCACTGGTGAAAATGAAGGGAGCATTCACATCCTTTTCAAAAGATGGCAATCCCACTGATGAAAAGCCCACAATGAATCCTCCAAGTATCCCATTCATGGAGCCCAGGAATGCTGCATGGAGCTAGAGGAAGAATATAGATAAAATAATTTAATTTGGCCAAATTATATACTGCATTCTTGTGTGCTGTAACTCAGGACAAGAGGGGACAGTTGAATGAATGACTACCTGAGGCAGGAATTTTGGTTTAGCATCCATGGGAGATGAAAAAGTATTTAGGTGAGAACTGGAAGAAGTGAGGCCAAGTCTATAGAAGCTTGAAAGATGAGCTTTCTCTGTTGATTGGTCACACAAGTCTGGTGTGTTTCCTTCCTTCCACTGCACCTATTCAAACATGAGATTTGTTCGGCACTTTATTACATAGCAATTGTGGCTCCTCACTGGAGTGATAAGGCATGTCATATAATTTTTTTCACTCCTATTTTGTAACATGCAGTCAGTGATGTAAGATTTTATGATGAGGATTAGTTTTGAGGTCCTGTCGCATACAATAGAGAATATATTGGTGGTATATTAACAATCATTCTCTGAGTCAATTGTACCAAAAACCCCCAATTGTGGTGGCAATCTCAATCCTCACCAGACCCAGAAATATAGAACAGGTGGAGTAACGTACATAGTCTTGAAGGGCTTGATCCAAGGAGGCTGTTGGTGTATAGTTTATTATGTTTTCAGCAGTCTTTCCTACTTTTCTGCCCACCAGAAGTTGACCCATCTTGCCACCACAGTTATGCCCATCAACAGTCATTGGACTGGCTATGGCTTTGACCTATTGACTTACAAAGAGCTCTGGGCCAATCTGCACTATTTCCTAATACTAGTAGTTTGCTACTCATCCTTCCCTACCTTCCACATTCCACCATTGTCTCATGATACTAGCAAGTATCTTCCAGCAACAAGTCTTGATTCATGTCCTTCTTCCTGCCTTCTTGAGCATCTCTGCTCCACATTCTTATGGTTCCAGGATGTTCTGCTTGCCAAAATGCTTCCTTCCTGTTTCAGTATCTCTATATGATACTTTCATCCTTCCTTTCACCTTTCACCCTTCCTTGTTAGCGATGAGACTCACTCTCATACATTATCTTTGCTTATATGAAGCAAACATACTGGACTTCTTTATACCTGTTGAAAGTCTGAAAAAGTATCAAGTGAGATTGGTGCAAATTTTCCCTTTCTTATTGTCGATTTAACATTTTCATTGGAAGTTACATGAAATTTGTTTTGATGCAATGGTATACTGTGTCATTTAACAGGTATTTCTTCTTTTTTTTCATTAGGCACCACCTCTAGGAGTTTGCTAATGCCATTCAATGAGACCGAGCTGCAGAGAATCAGTGGGATTCTTCGAGACGTCTGCCTGGGCCTCTTGGAGGTCCTGCACCCTGATGCCAAGCTTCTTGGAAATGTACTCAGTCTTCACAGAGAAAGGCAATGGAAGCATCTCTTCAAGGTATCCTATTCCTTCACAATGTATAGTCAAAGATGGCAATCCCACTGATGAAAAGCCCACAATGAATCCTCCAAGTATCCCATTCATGGAGCCCAGGAATGCTGCATGGAGCTAGAGGAAGAATATAGATAAAATAATTTAATTTGGCCAAATTATGTACTGCATTCTTGTGTGCTGTAACTCAGGACAAGAGGGGACAGTTGAGTGAATGACTACCTGAGGCAGGAATTTTGGTTTAGCATCCATGGGAGATGAAAAAGTGTTTAGGTGAGAACTGGAAGAAGTGAGGCCAAGTCTATAGAAACCTTGAAAGATGAGCTTTCTCTGTTGATTGGTCACACAAGTCTGGCATGTTTCCTTCCTTCCACTGCACCTATTCAAACATGAGATTTGTTCGGCACTTTATTACATAGCAATTGTGGCTCCTCACTGGAGTGATAAGGCATGTCATATAATTTTGTTTACTCCTATTTTGTAACATGCAGTCAGTGATGTAAGATTTTATGATGAGGATTAGTTTTGAGGTCCTGTCGCATACAATAGAGAATATATTAGTGGTATATTAACAATCATTCTCTGAGTCAATTGTACCAAAAAACCCCAATTGTGGTGGTATCAACAGTCATTGGACTGGCTATGGCTTTGACCTATTGACTTACAAAGAGCTCTGGGCCAATCTGCACTATTTCCTACTACTAGTAGTTTGCTACTCATCCTTCCCTACCTTCCACATTCCACCATTGTCTCATGATACTAGCTAGTATCTTCCAGCAACAAGTCTTGATTTGTGTCCTTCTTCCTGCCTTCTTGAGCATCTCTGCTTCACATTCTTATGGTTCCAGGATGTTCTGCTTGCCAAAATGCTTCCTTCCTGTTTCAGTATCTCTATATGATGATACTTTCATCCTTCCTTTCACCTCTCACCCTTCCATGTTAGCAATGAGACTCACTCTCACACATTATCTTTGCTTATATGAAGCAAACATACTGGACTTCATTATACCTGTTGAAAGTCTGAAAAAGTATCAAGTGAGATTGGTGCAAATTTTCCCGTTTTTATTGTCGATTTAACATTTTCATTGGAAGTTACATGAAATTTGTTTTGATGCAATGGTATACTGTGTCATTTAACTGGTATTTCTTCTTTTTTTCATTAGGCACCACCTCTAGGAGTTTGCTAATGCCATTCAATGAGACCGAGCTGCAGAGAATCAGTGGGATTCTTCGAGATGTCTGCCTGGGCCTCTTGGAGGTCCTGCACCCTGATGCCAAGCTTCTTGGAAATGTACTCAGTCTTCACAGAGAAAGGCAATGGAAGCATCTCTTCAAGGTATCCTATTCCTTCACAATGTATAGTCAATATATCAAAATTGAGACAAGTTTCTTCAGCTGGGGAATCAAATTGGTTTCAGCTCTGTGTTCGAGTAGTTAGACAACTGCACTTGCGTGACATGAGGAGAAATTTTTGTCCAGAGGAATTCTGGGTGAGTTCTCGGGTTAAGGTGCCATGGGAGTCTCTCATGAGCAGCTTTTCCTTTCGCTCTTCACGACGTGCTCAAGTCAGACGCCGTCCTTTGGTCGGACCTCATCTCCTCCCCAACAATGCAGCTCCAAACAGTAAGTGAAATTATGAAATAAATGTTTGGCAGCATTTCTTGGAATAATTGGGATTTCACTCATTTCAGAGGAGCTACTTCTCCCCCTGTCAGCCAAAGAGACAAGACTCAGTATGATCCTGCAGGAACTTCCCTTCACTATATCTTTTACAGACCGCATTCATATCCTTCAGCAGTTTATCAACCAGGTAAAGGCCATATTGGAAACTTTCCTCTTTGCTGTTCTGGGAAGATTTTTCTCATTTGATATGTAATACTTGCTTGTGAATGTGTCATTTATTTATATATACCCTCTGCAGGAAAAAGAAGACCATCAGGGAGAAGCAGTGAACTTCCTGCATGGTCCATCCATCATCATCAAGATTCGGAGGGACCATATTTATGAAGATGCCTTTGATCGCCTATCTCCAGAAAATGGTGAGACTGTGAACTTGATTTGTCTTACATGTTTGAAAAGCTACCAGTTACAAATATGAAATATTCAGAAATCCCCAAAGAAAAGGCACAACTCCATTTTCTTTGCATTTTTTGAGCAGAGCCAAACCTCAAATTGGTGATGAGGGTAACACTGATGAATGCTGTTGGCCTGGATGAAGCTGGGATTGATGGAGGTGGAATATTTAGAGAATTTCTGTCTGAGTTGCTCAAGACTGCTTTTGACCCAAATCTGGGATTCTTCAGCCTCACTCAGGAAAACACTCTGTATCCCAGCCCACACATCCGTGCATTGGAACCTGACTTCCAGAAACATTACTTTTTCATTGGACGGGTATTGGGAAAGGTAGGTTGTGGCAGTCCAAAGGTGTATTTTCCTTTCTTTCACTTGTGGCGTATGCCAGCATGTTATCATTTTTGTCTTAAGGCCTTGTATGAGAATCTGCTGGTGGAGATCCCCCTGGCAAGCTTCTTCCTTTTCAAGCTGCTAGGCAAGGGAGATAGTGTGGACATTCACTACCTGAAAAGCCTGGACCCTGTGGTCTATAGGAACCTTTTGGAGCTTCGCACTTATGAGGGCGATGTCTCTGAGCTGGATCTTGACTTCACAACTGTGTCTGAAATTCTGGGACAGGCTGAGGTAACTTGAAATCCCCATGAGTTCATATTTGGTGCATGTTAAGTGCATCCAGCAGAGGCCTCCACATTTTTTTCTTAGGTGATTGAGTTGAAACCTGGAGGGAGGAGTATGCCAGTGACATCTTCCAATGTCATAGAATACATCCACCTGATGGCAGATTACAGGCTGAATGTAGAGATCCGAAGCCAATGCATAGCATTCAAGAAGGGACTGGAAGATGTTCTATCATTAGATTGGCTTGCCATGTTTAGCCCTGCTGAATTCCAGACCCTTATTTCAGGTGCTTCTATACCTGTGGACATTGCCAATCTTCAGGAGTTCACCAAGTATGGTGGTGAGTATGATTTCCATTCCTTGTAATTGTGATGGTTGATTTGAGAAAAAACTGTCTCTACATTCAAAGTCATGTTTCACAGGAGTTAGTGAATCTGGTTGTAAATTGAAAATAAGCTTCCTAAAGATATATATGCCTATGCCTATATTCATATATATAGTCATATATGCTAGTCACTTGAAATGTATCAGATTTTTAAGGAATAGCTGGAGGGGAGGTTAAGCATAAAGTCAGCCCCTGCCCCAAAGGGACATGCTTGTTTGCCTCTCTTTTATAAATTTGGAATTTAGCTGAGAGGCAAAAATTTAGTGCAATTTCGTTTTTATGCACTAGTCATTTCACATGAGGTGTAAGCTCATGATTCCACAGGTGGGTATTCAGCTGATCATCTGGTCATCAAGAGTTTCTGGCGAGTGGTGTCAGGATTCTCAGACCGTCAGAAATCCCAACTCTTGAAATTTGTGACATCATGTTCCCGTCCACCTCTCCTCGGTTTCAAGGAGCTTCATCCCCCGTTCTGCATTCAGAGTGCTGGCCAAGACCTCGAACGTCTCCCATCAGCATCCACTTGCATGAACCTCCTCAAGTTGCCTGAATATCGAACTGAGGAAGTTCTTCGTGAGAAGCTCCTGTATGCCATCGAGTCTGGAGCTGGCTTTGAGCTCAGTTAGATGACAGATTCTTCTCAAAGGTCCCCATGGTGATTACATGTCATTTTGTGATAGCTGTTTGCCCTAATAAATGAATCAATAACTATATCTTGTCTTGAGAAATTTCCCTTCTGTAAAAANAGTAAAAAAAAAAAAAATCCTTTATTGCAGAATAAAGAGCAATGCAGAATCAAAAAACAAAAAAGGAAACCCAGAGGATATCAAAGAACTTTGGCAGTAGGAAGTGTCTCCCAAAGCCAAATATTAACCATCATGCAGATACCTCTCCACTGTCAGTTTACTTCTCCTGTACCTCAGGTAGAAAGAGGCTCTCAAGATGCTCTGAAAAAAGTTGGCTCATAGAATGGAACAAAGAGGGAGTGTGGATGGTGTGCCTACCAGACATTCCTAAGGTTTCTTTCATACTTCCCTCTTCCATGTCCCAAATCTTTCCATCCTCTTATCCTGGCAGAACCAATTGGTTGCATGCACTGATGACACTCTTAATCCTGTACTCCAAGTTCTTGTACCCTGTAAACCTGAATGAAGAGTTTCCATACAAATACAGGAAGGGTTTATGAAACTGGAGATACAGCACTTCTCATGGTATTGATATAATTCCCTCTTGGAGGAGATCTGTTCTCCGATGTTCTTGTCAAAGAGTTTGATAGTGCTATCTGTGCAGTTGAAAGGACATTGTCCATCCCTTGTCTGATGGATACACCTTCACTGAGTTCAAAGGAAGAATGGAGCATTTGGCATGTGACTGAGACTCTTGGGTTGGGAAAGCTGCAAGAGCATGTGAGTTGGTTGAAGGCTCTTGCATGAGGTAATTACTTCAAAGGATGCAGTATAGATACATATTGCCATTTCTGTTTTACTCTTGACTCTGAGGTTGTACAGTTGAAATTAGGATAGGAAAATATCATCTAGCACTTACTTGTGAGTTAAATTTAAGCATTGTGTTGCCCACCCACAGTCTAAATGATGGCTCAAAAGCATTGAATTTCGAAGTAGTGAATGGCAATATGAAATAGGTGAGGGTGGGAATGGGAGTTGAAAGTAGACAAGTTGTGTCTGGCAAAGTGTATGCAGGAAATGCTATAAATTCTCATGCTAAAAGACATATATAGAATAAGCAACTTCTACAGTTCCTTTTCCTTTTAGTCTTTCTGCACTCCATCCTTCCACAACTATACATAGTAAGGGAGTTGGAGGAGTGTGATGGTGGACATGGACTAATTCATACAGAAACCATATGTCATGATATCTGGAAACTCTGTCCATAATTTATCACATCCAGATTTGTTGGGTGTTGGTCCTTTTGGCTGATGACTGCAAGAGCCTTGCTCTTACGCTGATAAGGAGAACTCTGAACTTATTACACAAGGTAATCATCAGAAAATTGCAATACAGGAGACTCACCAAGTGTCAGTTCTAAAACCCATCCTTCATGCTTTCTCAGACATTAAGGTCAGAAATATCATAATGTGATTGTATGAAGCCGCTAAGAGGCAAGGGCTTCAGAAAAATTGGCATTATCACAAACATCCAATGTGTTTTCATGCTAATGCAGACCATTACCTTTAAGCTGACTATGTCCCATGGTCAGCTTAACCTTTTCACTGCTATGCCCGGGTATACTTGTTTTGAAACTTTCAGTTTTTCTTTTATTTCCCCATGTGTCCCTTAGAGGCATTGGAGTGTTCCAGCATGTGCTGCCATCTCTATAGACTTATTCTGAACTACTTGCACTGACTGCTTCACTCTGAATGTAATAGAAAATTTTTTGTATAGGGCACCCTCACGTTTACTCCCGCCAAAAATAGTATTGAGAAAATGGCACAGCCAAGCACTTCTCGTGGTCAGGATCTTTCCGATAAAGATATTTCTGATATCTTTATGAATGACGAATCTGATGAAGAGGGTGAGTTGTGTATAGTTCGTATGATACAAGTAGTGATAGTGATAATGAAGATGTGCCTGTGAGAACATTTTGACCACATCCTCATTGCTGTTGAGGACATGTAATTGGACTAAAGACCAAATCTAAAGGTTAGAAAAATAAGTTTAAATAATTTCTCATAATATTAAAGGTTTTATAAATTTTTTCTAATAAAAAAAAAAAACTTAGCAGTGAAAGGGTTAAAGGATGCCTGGAGCTATTGAAAAAATGACATGTCAGGAGAGGGCAACTTGTTTCAAGGCCCTTCTACCTCTATGTCTATGAAGACTTGGGTTTAATCCTGAAAGATTTTGCTTAAGTTCAGAAATCCAGTGAGTCTCCTAGGCAGCAGTTTTCCTGCTATCACTTATTGGAATAATTTGAACAGTCCTGTGAATTCTTGAGTTTACCATCAGCTTCTGAATTTACTGCAGTCCTACCCATTTTGCCTTAAAGCTGACACCTAGGCAGTGACAGGTACACATGAGATTTAAGCTCAGATTTAAGCTGAAAATGTAGAACATGATTTATTAGTCAGAAATTAATTCTGGTTTGCTTTGACGATACACAGGTCTGATTTAATAGCAGGACAAAGAATTCATCACACCCTGTATAATAAATACTTCATCTCTGATTAGAAACTGAAAGCATAAAATATTGGAAATTATGTAAAAAATTATAACACTGATGCTAATGTAAACCAGAGTATCCTCTAAGAACTTAGTGTGGGAAACTTAAGCAGGTGCACTGCCATATGTCAACTACCGGGTGTTGCACATAGATAGCCCCCCCTCCACACCCTAAACTATAGAAGCTAGGAAAACATTTAAAATATATTTGGAATCCTTGTTCAATTTTGAATCTATTCCATCCAATTTTGTTTTTCCTGATGTCATATGATAGTGAAAAACTTAAATTCAATGATTGCACACATGGTATTACATTTCAAGTTCATGATGCCAGAGCTGAATTCATTACCTGTTCATGGGTTTCGAAAAAGATTAAACGTTCAGCTTCTGTCTGATGAAGCCCTATTTTTCAAAGCTTTGATCTCATGGCAATTGCTGAAAGGCTCAGGATTGCTTTTTTTTTGGAAATGCAGAATAGCCAGGAAACTCTCCTGATCTAAATGTGGCTGAGAACATTGGGGTTATCCTGAAAGACCAAGTTGAGGCTCATGCACATGGAGGGCAAGCAACATGGATTCTCCCAGGAAGCCTTGCAAAGTGACACCACCAGGGTGTTGAAGGACATGGAAGATGACACCGAACTCTTTAAGCGCCTCTTTTCATCTTACCCTGTTCGTATTAAAGCTCTTAGAAATAGAGCCAGGATTCATAAAAATTATAAGTACATGTTTAGATTCAAAAATGAATGCTCTTTCTTAAGATATACAAGTTTTTTTCCTAGCTCTTATAGTTTAGGCTGTGGAGGGGGGGCTATCTATGTACAACACCTGGTATACAGGCTATTATGACAATTTTAGTGGATAGTTGTAATGAAAGCAGGTGGGTCATTTCAAACTAACTGACCAAATTATGAAGGAATTTGACTCTCAACAATTTCAGTAAAAATTTGACTAATTCAAAGCTAACAGGTCTTACATGAACATCCAGAAACCCAAATATTTTCTATTTCTTCCCTTTGTTACACAAGATATGAATTTTTAGTTTTGGTTGTCTGGCAAATGTAACACCTTAGGCTAATTTCATACCTCTCAAACTATGCCTGCTATATGTGCATATAAAGGCTCAAATGAAAGGTCTGAAATAGTGGAATGCAAATATCACACCACAAAAATAAGTGTTTTATATAGCCTGAAATACATGTCCTTTTCCAAATGTACTAATTTTTTTAAATTTCATGACCTCATTATAATTTGTTGGAATCAACAAAACAAAATCAAAATTGCAGTGTGAAGAGTCCACCTTTGCCTCAGTTTTATGACATGAGTATCATTTTGCTTTCATCATCCCCACATGTAGAAAATTAAACCTAAATCTCCCATTTTTTGTGATTTTGCAGAACTTTGACCTCATTTTTTATAATGTGGGGGTCCAGATAAAAATTTGGCTCATATGTCTTTTTGATGACATGAGTTTCCTTCTGTTACAGTCATGTATGAAAAAATTATGGTTTTTCTAATGTTGACCTGTTTTGAACTTGGCTCTGTTCAAGATAGCCTCTCCTTATGAAAACTGGCTCAACCTCTTAATTTCTATGATATTTCTTTCCATGAAGTAGCAGAGTAACTTACTCAATTGTATTACAATTGTGTCATTTAGTGCCATCCATCTAATATGTTCATTTTGTTCCATTCAGATACATTTTGCCTTTATGTTCAAATCATATTCCTTACATAGGCCTTACTACTGCATGAGATTGACAAAATAAATGTTCCCTTCATTTTTAAATTCTCCTGTCCAAGGTTACATGTCTGCAAGTAGTAACATCCTGTTACCATTTCAGAGTGCACTTTTCAGTTTCACTGAAGGGCATGATATGAGGAGTAAATGAAACAAAATATGTCTGATATTCCTGGTCCTAGCTCCTTCAATTTGAGTATTTCTGGGTGTTACGAGAATCACTACACAAGAAAACTTCCAGAGCTCATCACCGTCCCTTCACTACCAGATCAGAAGCTACTTGGATAAAAATTCAAAGGAGGCAGTTCCAGAAATGATATGTTAACAAATTGTTTCTGAAATGAAATATTGGCATGTACTTCTGACATATTTGTGTTGGGCTTGTTTTTCTGTGCATTCCATGACTCAAATTGAAGAAGCAAGGACCAGGAATATCACTCAAATTAAGGTTCATTTGTTCCTTGATGTGTACCACACAAGGAGGTAAGAATTGAGATATATCCCAATTACTTTGTACAGTATATAATACTTAGCTGGTATAAGACTTAATTAGTACATTCCAATACAAAATGACCTGTGAACCAGCAGAAAATGTCTCCAGAACTCTGAAAAAGTTATTATGAAGTGCAAAAAACCATTTCACAGTTATATTTCCCTTTCTTCAAACCCCCCCCCCCCCTCCAACCCTTCCCTCTTTACATGACTTGTTAACTTTAGGCCTCGACCTTACCCATGGACTGCCTATACACCATAGAAATCAAATAGTTGAGCCAGTTTTCACGAGGAGGGACCATATG